GAAGAATTTAAAAATATTGATATTAAAGTTGTGAAAAATTGTGTGATATCGATGAAAAAACGATGTTTGTCTCTTATCAATGGTAAAGGTGAACGAATAAAATATTGAACTATGATATTCGGTATTACTAGTTGTAAGGTGTCAATTGCTACGCAAAACTTTGAGAGAGTTCTTGTTTGAGGGAATATTATATAACAAGACGGGAGAGTTCTATTGCAAATACTTCAATATAATACTTAAAGAAGAAATTCAATAAAAAAAGACTGATGAACTCCAACATTTTTCAGGTGAAAAAGTGAAAAAAATTGAAATATCCATGACAAATATTTCTGATGTAGTGAAGGAAACGAGATATTAGTATAATATCTTTTTTATAAGTCAATCAAAAGAATATGAAATTGTATTGTTGTATAGAACTCGTCGTGGGCTATCTACCACACTATAAAACAATTCGAAGAGCACTTGTATAGAAGAAGATATCTGTGAAAGAAGGTTTCCAAGTTGCTTTGCAAACACCTGTATATTATTATGAGATAATAACTAGTATTAGTAGGAGATTATTTAAAAAATATATTGGTTTTCAATATGAGAAAAAGACAGAAAATAATCAGGGTGTGGGCGTGGGTATAGATATTAGTAGAGAGAACACTCACACCCACACCCACATCTTCAAATACTGCTCGTTGTAAAAAAAGCCAAATGTTTTATCGAATCTCGTTTTTTATTCGTCGCTTGGCCTGATAAAACTAAATTTGACTATATGTGAGCTGCAAAACGGTGGATATGAATCTTATCTTAAGTAAATGCATCTCTGTTGACAAAACAATCATCATTTACTCTCGTCGACAGATTCATATTGTAGCACGACAGTTACCAATCAGAATCATATGTGTCATTTACTGGCAACATACGGCACGTTGCGTGATGATAATGATTCAGGAGCACCATGGAACCCACCGTTTATCCAAGTAGACAAGAATTTTTCTATCGAGAAAAAGAATTTCATTGACTATTCACTTGTTCGAAAACGTAGGGTATTGCATCTGCAACGACGGGTCGAGTGACCGGTTATCGACTCTTCTTCAATCCCAAATTGAACTATCCATTTGCTATTTCAACAGGTGAGTTTTAATAGTAGTGGAAAATGCATCAATCTATCTGCTTCATCTTTTTTCTTCTTTATCTAAATCAAAATTCAGGTGATGCAAACGATTCTGTCGTTGTACGTGTACTTGCTTGGCCAACACGAGAACAATTTGAGCAGAAACTTGATGAGGCCGACAAAATGGAAGGTGTTGACTATGAACGTAAAATGGTGGATGTTTTCATTGAAAGTTCTTCCAATACGATTCAAGCCCATTTTTACGTCGCCCGCTCAGAATTAATTGATGATCAATGTCAACTTATTCCCAGCGGTGATTGGCTACGACGACATGAATCATGAATGAAAAATTCTTTTATTTTTTTTTCTTTCTAAATACATCCAAAAACAATGATCAGCGACTTCGTTGACACCGTGTGAATTGTTCCAACCTGTCCTGAATGTATAGAGAAATGGGTATATCCACGGGTATCCAAGTATTTTTTCGGAAAAAAATTTTCTTCATCCAATTTTTTTATGCTGCTTAGGCGTCTAGTGAAGAGAAAATAAATTTGGCCGAAAAAAAGTCGTGACTTTTACCTGAAATATCGTAGTTTGGGTGTGGGTGTGGGGTGTGGGGGTGGGGGGTGTGGGGGTGGGGTGTGCGTGTGGGTGTGTGGGGCGTGCGTGTGCGTGTGGGTGTGTGGGCTGTGGGTGTGGATGTGGGTGTGTGGGGTGTGCGTGGCATGTGTGTGGGTGTGTGGGCTGTGGGTGTGGGGGTGTGGGGTGTGGATGTGGGTGTGTGAGGTGTCGGTGTGGATGTGGGTGTAGATCTTCTCTTGATCCTAACCCACACCCCACACCCACACCCACCCACACCCACACCTATCCACACCCATACCCACCCACACCCACACCCATCCACACCCACACCCACACACCACCCTTTTCAAGGTTTCTAAGATTTCGGATTCATTGCATACAAATGGCGTGGGGTCTTCATTGGATTTGGTCAGATATTTTATTCATTATTAGTAGAGTACACTTTATTATAATTTTTCAAAGATTTCTAGACTTCCGATAGTGCTTCTATTTGTATATTGTCTGGAGCGTATACCACACAAAAAAACGGTTTTCTTTGGCTTTCTAGTCCTTCACTTCTTGGATTCTATATTGAATTTTTATACCCAATGATTTCCCCAATCGATGACATAGAGATTGTCGTGTCAATTGAGTGACAAATCGATGGGCTCATTGAGTTGGTTGAATTGTCCTACTCTACCGTTTCTACCAACAATGACACTTCTCTGTGTCGCTCCTTTGGGCCAATCCATGATTTGATCATTCCTTGTATCAGGTACATAGACAGTGTCCAATTGATCGACAACGACTCCTTTTGAATATGACAATTGTGTAAAATCATTTCCTTCTCCTTGACTATCAGTCATGACAATACCTTTTTTTTGTACCTTCCATCCATTTCATTACATAATGATTTCCACAGTCAGATATTTACACTGAATGATCTCGTTGGACGAATAGGTATTGTGGGTAAGAGAGTTGATCGAGACGAATTGAGTATGGGTGTATTATTCTCAACCCAGTGCTCACACCCACACCGTCAGTAGGGTAGTTTATCTGTATTATTCAAAAGAACAACGTGATCATCATTGAAATTGATCGATGTTCAATTGTGCGTGGATTAGCGGGTGTGGTGAAGAATCTCATCCACTGTTCGGCATCCACACAAACATCCTTCAATGAACATAACTGCAGGTTGAACTTTTAATTTCCCACATCCAAGAAACTATCGTTTCTCTTGCACATATTGACATTATGGTATTGATAATCATCATTAACAAGCAAGGAATGTAATAGATAATAGTGATTTGATTATGTTCATAGAGTCACACTGAACTAGGTTACTATGAAGCAAGAGTTGATCTCTAACTGCATACAATACGATTGCATTCCACGAGACAATGGCTCTTAAAAAGTTCGATGAACTTGAATATTCGACGTAATAATCAATTTCATCGTTGCGATAGGTTTCATCATGACACTTGTCATTGATACAAAAAAAAAACGTTTTTGTGGTATGCAAGTATGGATCTAGACACTTTTCTGCTACAGTCAGATCAATAGTGGCAGACAATCATTCATACTCTCAACCATACACTAAGGCTTACATCATCAGGAATCCACAACCCAACCAAAACCTAACTCATCCTCTTTCTCCACTAATCTTTCACACTTACAAACATTTGAATATTTCAACTATGATTCTATTAAATATAAGACCATACGAAATAATTAAGTGATAGAAAAATATAAAGTACAAGATAAAATTATTAACAAGTCTGCAAGAGAATATTTAAACTGTCAGTACCATTATTGGCGACGGCAAAATCTAGTTTTTTATCATTATTGAAATCTCCAATGGCAATGAAGAATGGATTGGAATCATAATCCAACTGAACTAGCATAATGCTTTCGAACGTCCCGTCGCCATGCCCAACAAGTACACCTAGATAATTGGCATCATAATTCGCGACGACAATGTCTTGTATAGTATCGTTATTAATGTCATTTACAGCTAAAGAGTATCGAGACGAACTTGAGCTTGTTGAATACATCATTTGATTTCCAAAAGAACCATTTCCATATCCAAGAATAATACCAACACTGTTCGACTTACAACTAACAAAGACGATATCCACTCGACTATCATTATTGAAATCACCGACAGCCATAGAGCATGCAGATAAATATGGATGTGTTGAATATGTCATTTGATTTGCAAAAGAGATATTTCCATATCCAAGAAAAATATCAATATTGTGGGTGCGTGAATTAATGACGCCAATATCCATTAGATCATCATTGTTAAAATCGCTAATCACCAACGACAGTGGTCGGGAATCATTTTCAGTTATGAGTATCATTTGTTTTACAAACACTATATTTTCATATCCAAGAAGGATACTCACATCATTGCTCAACCAATTGGCGACAATGATATCTAGTTGGGTGTCGTTGTTGACATCACCAATAGATACAGATGTTGGATAAGAGCCAACTGAATACCTTGTTTGATTTTCAAAAGAACCGTTTCCATATCCAAGAAGGATACTC